TACAAGCGGGTGCACAGTAGAGGTCAGGTCTTGGGGTGTAGCTGGTGACAGTATTTGTTTGCAAAGGTAAAGTTTAGCTTAACAGAGAGTCTTTTCCTATCTGAAAGCACAAACATTAGGTAAACATGAATGTTCCCTGGCACCTGGGGGGCTCAGTTGGTTAAGTGTCCGACTCTTGATTTCTGCTCAGGTCTTATGGTTCATGAGTTTGAGCCCTGCATTGGTCTCTGTGCTGACAGTGTAGAGCCTGTTTGGGATTCTCGCTCTCCCTCTCTTACTGACCCTCCCTGCTCTCTCTCCTTCTCAAAAAAGAGAAATAAACTTAAAAAAACAGTAATGTTTTAAACAAGAGGCATAAAAACTAGAATCCTCCTCCTTAGTTCATCCCATCCTGTGTTATTCTTGCTGTGTTGGAATCCGGTTTTCCCACTAGCTCCAGTAATGCTTACACAGTTCAATTCCCTGATTCTATGGTTATCAGAATCCTGTCTTGTCAAAAGTCCTTTCCACAAATCCCCTTGAAAATGAAGCACTTTTGCAGAAGCATCAAAGCAAAAACAATAGCTGTAAATGACAAAAGACTACATACAATATGGCCATGGTTAAAGATCTGAAGATAAGCTTTGAATGTGGCAGACATGGACATTTGGTTATTTCTGTGACACTCACAACTTCAGTAATTAGAATTGCAGGTGCTTCCATACCAGGGCATATCAGATTTCTAGGAGTTTCATCTAATTTCTAGAACACTTCTATACCCACACAAATACAGCCTAAAGAAGGCTTAATATTACTTCTTATTTGACAGAGCTTCCCATGTAGTTTAATGTATCCAGTAAGTCTACTTCAACATAAATCCTCTAGAATGTTCCAGGAACCCTTCTGGGGAAATCCCAACTTTTTTTCCATGTCAAGAAGATTTAGAATTTTATTTGGGGAAGTTTATCAGAAACATCAAAAGGAGTTTTAAAGCACTTGGTCAAGTAGAACCATAGGTCACTGTGAAACAACATGTTGGTTATTAACCAAAATGACAATAAAATAAAGACAAATACAGCAGATTATGTGGTTGTTGGCAAAACTTAACTTTTAATATTCTTAAGTAATCAAAGACCTGATAAACACAGGAAATTACGTTGGTGAAACAGAATCCTTGTTTTCTAGGCATGACCATTAGAAGATTAAAAAAACCTTTCATAATCTTTTATCAAGAACACTACAATAGTTCAAAAAAACTTAATTTTCTTTTATCTGTTAAAAAGATAAAGTTCCAGTTTTACCTAAGTGCATTATTGATATTAAAGCTTATTTTGAAAATCCTTATAAGAAATCCATTCGATCTTATCTCTTTTGATCACACATAAAATTTGTTTCCCAAGATTCCTTTTTCATAAGCCTACAACTTCCTGTGTCTATTTTAGCCGGTCCCTTGTTCTCTCCCATTCAGAAATAATCAGCTTTACTTTAGAACAAAATTACTTTTGTTTCCCTCAAAAAAAAAAAAAACAAAAAGAAGCATTTCCATTCCTCATACCTTTTCTTACCAAAAACATTCTAGTTTCTTACATAGAGAGTTGATGCTGTTATTATTTCTAGAATTAAATATATATTAATTATATTTCTTTAAAAAAATTTTTTTTAACGTTTATTTTTGAGACAGAGAAAGACAGAGCATGAACGGGGGAGGGTCAGAGAGAGGGAGACACAGAATCCGAAACAGGCTCCAGGCTCTGAGCTGTCAGCACAGAGCCCGACACGGGGCTTGAACTCATGGACCGTGAGATCATGACCTGAGCCGAAGTCGGCCGCTTAACCGACTGAGCCACCCAGGCACCCCAATTATATTTCTTAACTTTTAGAACCTCCAATTACTAGTGAAAACTAATCAGCGAGCAATTGTGAGCTGTTTATTACATCAGCATTCTTTAGATTGGCAAACTTATGAATATGTTTCATAATTTCTAGAAACATATGCTTCTTATTAGTATGATCTTTCAGTAAAGCATAAGATGTGTTTATCAACAGACTCAAAATTATCTTCTTGTAATAAGACAAAAGTTAGGTAAACTTGGACTTGTTTAGCAATTAAATGTTTTAGCATTTTATTTGCAAACATTTATTATTCAGTGAACTCCCATCACTTAATTTAACATAGCAAAATTCTTAGCTTTATTTTATCTATCTATCTATCTATCTATCATAGCAAAATTCCAAGAATGGGAGTTACCAAAGAGATTTGGAAAGCTATTTAAGCAGACATACTGTAAAACATAATTATTACTAAAAAGTTCACCTAAAACTTCTTACATCTATCTAAATAATTTTCTTCTGGCAATTATGTTTAGATTATCCAGGGACACTTCACGAAACGATGAAAAAAAAATCAGCCATCATTCTAAGTTATTTTTGTTGGCAAATTTTGCAACAGAGTGAACATGAACTTATTTGATGAGTAAACGTAGGTAGGATAAAAGTTTTCTATTTAATGTTATTAACTAAAGACATGCTTATTTCACTTAGCAAACTTCAATTAGCTTTTATTTATTAAAGATTCATCCTAGATCATATGAAACTGGGAAACATTTGGATTAGTTTTTATATTTCTGAAAGTTTTAGAATAGCCACCCCTTATCAGTTCTTGCCTTCAAACCAGATAAACAGAACTATTCCACAAATTAATTTTGGCAAAGCCATCCAGAAGCAGAAAAATACCATACAATGCATACATAAGCATATATGAACAGATGCAGAGACCTTATAGTCCCTAAGATTTGTGGAGATGTTTCATTTGTTCAATTTCCAATTACTTCCTCTCCCTCTTTGTTTGTGATGAGAAACCTCTCCCTAAAGTTTGCACTTCAAAGAATGGCTCTTAGATATTAGAAAAGATGGGTAGAAAGTCTACATGACAGAGGCACAAAGAAAGTGTCCAAGTTTCTCCAAGGACTTTGGTTTCTCAGGACAACACGAACCTTTGGAGATAAAGAGGGGAGGTTTGGGAATTGGCCAAAATGACAGGCTGAAGGAGTTTGCCTTGTTTTTGGATAATTCTTGGGCCGTAATTAAAGATAAGGACATTCGCAGGGCACCCGGGTGACTCAGTTAAGCGTCAACTTCAACTCAGATCATGATCTCATGGTTCATGAGTTACAACCCTGCGTCGGGCTCTGTGCTGTCAGCTCAGAGCCTGGAGCCTGCTTCAGATTCATTCTCTCTCTCTCTGCCTTTCCCTCCCTTGTACTCTCTCAAAAATAAAACATTTTTTAAAAAGATAAGGACATTTGCTCTCAATTCCTCAAAGAATTGCATTGCAACTTAAATGACATCTTGGGTTGATCTACCCATCCAACTACATTATCCTCAGTTTACTTCTTTCTCTCTGGGTGCCTGGTTTTATTTTACCTTAGGAGAGAAAGCCTAAATTCCTATCAGGCTGAAAATATCAGCTTCCAATGTTGCCAACTTTTGACCACAGAGCTACTTTAAAAAAATTCTTTTGAAGATCGTGTCAGTTTTCAGCCAAACAGTAAATAACTGATGGCAGTATTGAGTAACTTATCCCCACCCCCTCCAAAGGAGGATGCAAAGGATACTGCCTTCCCAAGATACAGAGTCACTCCCAAATTTAGCCATAAGGAAGAAGTGACAACCTGCGTGTCCCAGGCAGGCAGACAAAATGAGCCAAGCAAGAAAGCAACAGCTATACCTGGGAGAGAAAGGACCAATAACCAGTGGGTCTGGATTTGGAAAGGAGGAGGCATCATGGAATTTTATCGTCTTATCCTACCAGCCCCTGAACATCAGCCTTCAGCTGGTCATTTGTGGGAGAGCCCAGGAGAAATTCTAGTCCTCTGTTCCCTCTGTGATGGTGATGGTGGGGGTGAGGGTGAGTAGCCACTGATTTTTCTAACTCTTCTCTGAATTTCGTATAATCTGCTGAAAAGATCTGCTGCTGTTCAGAGGACAAGAATTCTTTGGGTAGGGGCCCAGGACAGATCCATAAAGAACGTTACATAGGAAGACCAGAAGCTGGCAAGCCCTGCCTGTCCCGGGTGCTTCTGACTTCCAGCATTTACCTGAGAAACCTGCATACCCCCAGGTCTAGAGAATGAAGGGAAGCTAAAACAGGCAGATGGGGCCGCATTGTGATAAGGGGAATTTGCACTGAATTTAATTTTTGTTCTAATTTCTGTTCTTCATCTTAAGGGACTCCCTAAGGCTAGTCGTTACATTTTTATTTTATTTTATTTTATTTTTTTTGTGCTAGGTCTCTCCACAGGTGCCAATAAATTGATTGTTTAGGATGACAACTCTTCTAAGTTTTTTTTTTTTTTTTAATTTTTCTCTCAAATATAGCCAATTCAAAGGATCCATCATCTGGTCATTGATGAGTGGTATCTGTCAATAGCGATTCAAACCATGAAGGCTTTTTGTGGCCCAAAGAGGCCTCACACAAGAGACTATGAAATATGCAGTGTTTACAAGATCCAGAAAGTTCATTCCCAGAGAGTGTAAGAAAGCAAAGGCCTTCATTCATAGGCAGCAAGGATGGTGTAGTCCAGTTCCCAGGAGAACATGAAATGCCTCCAGCCACAAACACCCTTCACTGGGCAGGTGCTCACTAACAAAGTAATGACGATTGAAATGACCAAGACCCCTCATGGACTGGGACCCTTGATGGCAATTCCCCTGAGACTTGGCATGGCTAAATTGTGCTGCTTGGAACCCCAGCCTATTCAACGAGATGCGATGTTGCACCCCATTAAGTGTACCATCCAGATGGTGGAGCCCAGAAAGAATATTCTCATTGGTCACAAAACCATATTCTCAGAATATAGAACAAGACAAAAGTTTTTTTTACATGCACATTAACAGCTTTAGCTGAATCTTGGGTCTCTCAGAGCCAAACTACTACCTCTCTCCCTGTGCCTATCAATTGTGTGGCTTTGGCTTTCAGATGTCCCTTAGCAGCAGACTTTCCCTCATGTGCACGTTAACCCATGGCAGAGTTTGTCCAGAAAGATGTGGTCTGGTGAGAACAGAGCAGTCACCAGTCTGGGACACAGTCTTGGACAGCAGCCTCACGTGCAGAGTTCTGCTCTGTGGTTTCCCTTATAACAAACAACACAACAGAGAAAAACTAGGACCATCTCTGAGAAAAAAAGGACCACTAGAGTTGCTAATCCCAGGGAACCAGTTCCACAAATAAGTTCTCCTGCTAATCTAAGTTTAGAAAAGGAAAAAAAAAAAAAAAAAAAAAAAGGGAAGGAGACTCACCACTGCTTCCACTGGACTGTGCAGGTAGACACCCAAGACTCCAATGTAAGAATTCTTAGTTTTTGCCAGCTCTTCTCAGAGGTCCCAGGATCTTTCTACTGCAACAGGTGTGGGGTGAGCAGTACCCAGATAGTGAGGTCTCCTGGCTGGCTTGCCAAAAGTGTTGGGGAGGAAAAATTTTCCTATACCCTTCAAAGGTTCTTCTGGCTGGTGTAAGAATTACATTGACATGGGACACATTAATAGGAAGAAATCAAACTTAAATTTGTAACATATGGGAACCTAACATACAAGAGAAATTCAAAGACAGGTAAAATGAGGTATGTATGCCATCCTGAGCATAGGAATGGGATAGGGGCCTGGGGCTTCAAAGGGGAGGAGGGCAAATTCACAGGCCAATAAGAAGAGATGTTTGGGGGCACCTGGGTGGCTCCATCAGTTAAGTGTCCGACTCTTGATCTCGGCTTGGGTCATGATCTCATGGTTTGTGAGTTTCAGCCCCATGTTGGGCTTTGCACTGACAGCATAGAGTCTCCTTGGGATTCTGTCTCTCCCTCTCTCTGCCCCTCTCCTGCTGTCTGTCTCTCTCAAAATAAGTAAACAAACTTAAAAAAGCAGATGTTTGGTAATCAGATGTTTGCCTTGTCATACAGATAGGTCACTCAGATAAGATTCATCTTTTTAATTGACTCTTATCTGGGAAAGGCCCCCAACTTGGATTTTTCTAGGTAGTTAAGGGAGGGACCAAAGTTTCTCTTCGGGCATTAGACTCACAGGGTCTCTATTGCCTGCAGCTCAAAATAGTCCTTGTGCAAAAGTGGCATGTTTTAGATTTGATCTGAATCCCTTCAGGAGTGAAATATATTGAGTAAATCTAGGCCGGCCAAATAGAGGCCCTGAGCTTCTAGGATGTCATTTATCATCATCACTATTACATTGAGGATGGGAGAATTAATGGCAGGAACATATGCATCTAAACTTCCATTGTTAGAGTCCATTCATTGCCACCCAGTTTTAACCTGGCACATAAGGCTACTGCGGGGTGGGGGGGGGGTAATGACCTCAGGATTAAGTGTGTTTCTTTTTCTTATGTTTGTTTATTTTTGAGAGAGAGGGTGGGGGGGAGGATCAGATAGAGAGAGGGAGAGAGAGAGGGAGACACAGATTCTGAAGCAGGCTCCAGGCTCTGAGCTGTCAGCACATGTCTTACACTGTGCTGCATTTACTGTTTGCAATGGCAGAGGCAGTTGCTAATGCCAGTTGGCATTCCCTATGGATGATTAGCATCCTGTCTGTGGTGCCAGCTCTGATTTTTTAAGTTAGCATTTGTTAGGTGGAGCCCAGAGCCCTAGGGTTTCTAACGAACAGTCCTGGTTCCGCAAAAATCCAAGGGGGAACTGAAGTAGAATTGATCACATACAGCTCTAGAAGAAGTGCATGGCACACTTGAGGGGTCAGCTGGGAGGTCACTGCAAGTGCCAGCAGAGTGTCTCCTGTAGAGAGAATACAGTCAGGTCATGTTTCATGATGCATTCTGACCACCTCTGCCTTTTGTTGTGTTGTATGGTCCTTTCACACTTAATGTCATCATCGATGTGGTTGTCCTGTGTCCCCATTCACTCCTCGTGTGTCTCGTGCCTTTGTTCCTACAGTCCTCTACTACTTTGTTTTGCATTAATATTTTCCAGTAAAGCATTTCAATTGGTTTAATTACATTTTTCAGTATTTTTTCCTTTTTAAAACTTGGTTGTTTTATGATTGCCGTATACACCTAATCAGATCAGCTTCAGATTTAGGATTGCTCAATTCCAGTGAGGTACAGAAATGTTACTCCTAGGTAGTTCTCTTCCCCCCTTTATGAGACATTACTTCTTTATATGTTACAAAGCCAACAATGCATGTTTTAATGTATACTTTATCATCTTGAATCATTTTCACCTCTTTTCCATTACAGTTTTGCTCCTACCACCTCCTTTGTGCTGTTATTGGGAAGTAGATTACAAATATTTAATACATCCTATGTGTTATACACCCAACAATACATTATAAACATTCTACACCATTGCCTTTGAAGTCAGGAAACTTAAGGAGAAAAATATGCATTTATGTCACTACATTTATCATTTTTCTTTATTATTTTAAAAAATTTAATGTTTATTTATTTTTGAGAGAGAGAGAGAGAGACAGCATGAGCAAAGGGGGTGGGGAGGGATGAGGGAGAGGGAGACACAGAATTCAAAGCAGGCTGCAGGTTGTGAGCTGTTAGCACAGAGCCCGATGCAGGGATTGAACCCATGAACAGCGAGATCATGACGTGAGCCGAAATTGGACACTTAACCAACTGAGTCACTCAAGTGCCCCTGTTCTTTATTTTTTCATGTGGATTCAACTTTCCATCTTGGAACAATTGCTATCATTTTTTTGTTTTGTTTTATTTTTTTCTTTTTCAAGTTTTTATTTAAATTCCCACTAGTTAACATACAGTGCAATATTAGTTTCAGGAGTAGAATTCAGTGACTCAGCACTTACATACAACATCAGGTGTTCATCATGACAAGTGGCCTCCTTAAAAAGTGCCCTCCTTAATACCCATCACCCCTTTAACCCATTCCCCTGTCCACCTCCCCTCCAGCAACCCTCAGTTTGTCTCTATAATTAAGAGTCTGTTTTCTGGTTTGCATCTCTTTTTTGTTTTTTCTGTTTATCTGTTTTGTTTCTTCAGTTCCACATATGAGTGAAATCATATGGCATTTGTCTTTCTCTGACTTATGTCACTTAGCATAATACTTCCTAGCTCCATCCATGTTGTTGCAAATGGTAAGATTTTATTCTTTTTATGGCTGAATAATATTCCATACACACACACCCCACATCTTTACCCAGTCATCAGTCGATGGACACTTGGGCTGTTTCTATATCTTGGCTATTACAAATGATGTTGCTATAAACATTGGGGTGCATGAATCCCTTTGAATCAATATTTTTGTATCTTTTAGGTAAATAGTAGTGCAGTTGCTGGATCATAAGGTAATTCTATTTTTAACTTTTTGAGGAAACTCCATACTGTTTTCCAGAGTGGCTGTGCAGTTTGCAATCCCACCAATAGTGCAAGAGGGCCTCCCTTTCTCCACATCCTTGCCAACACCTGTTGTTTCCTGTGTTGTTAATGAGGTGTGAGGTGATACCTCATTGAATTTTATTTTTATTTCCCTGATGCTGAGTGCCATCAAGCATCTTTTCATGTGTGTTGGCAATTTGTATGTCTTCTTTGGAAAAATATGTATTCATGTCTTCTGCCCATTTTTTTAAAGTGGATTATTGGTTTTCTGGGTTCCAAGTTTTATAAATTCTTTATATGCTTGGATATTAACCCTTTATCAGATATGTCATTTGCAAATATCTTCTTTCATTCCAAAGGTTGCCTTTTAGTTTTGTTGATTGTTTCCTTTGCTGAACAGAAGCTTTTTATCTTGAGGAAGTCCCAACAGTTTATTTTTGCTTTTGTTTCGTTTGCCTCAGGTGACCTATCTAGTAAGAAGTTGCTACAGCTGATGTCAAAGAAGTTACTGCCTGTGTTCTTCTCTAGGATTTTGATGGTTTCCTGTCTCACATTTAGGTCTTTCATCCCTTTTGAATTTAATTCTGTGTATGGTGTAAGAAAGTGGTCCAGTTCCATTATTCTGCACGTTGCTGTCCAGTTTTCCCAACACCATTTGTTGAAGAGACTTTTTTTTCTTTGGATATTCTTTCCTGCTTTTGTCAAAGCTTAGTTGACCATATAGTTGTGGGCCTCTTTCTGGGTTTTCTATTCTGTTCCACTCATCTATGTGTCTGTTTTTGTGCCAGTACCATTCTGTCTTGATGACTACAGCTTTGTAATATGACTTTCACAATTGCTTTGGCTATTTGGGATCTTTTGTGGATCCATACAAATTTTAGGTTTGTTTGTTCTAACTCTGTGAAAAATGCTGGTGGTGTTTTGATAGGGATTGCATTAAATGTGTAGATTACTTTGGTTAGTACAGACATTTTTTAAAAATGTTTATTTATGTTTGAGAGACAGAGTGTGAGCAGGTGAGGGGCAGGGAGAGAGGGAGACACAGAATCCAAAGCAGGCTCCAGGCTCTGAGCTGTCAACACAGAGCCCGATGCAGGGCTCTAACTTACAGACTGCAAGATCATGACCTGAGCTGAAGTTGGACGCTCAACCTACTGAGCCACTCAGGCACCCCATTTTCTTTCGTCAGTGTTTTATAGTTTTCAGAGTACAGGTCTTTACCCTCTTTGTTAGGTTTATTCCTAGGTATCTTAGTGCGTTTGGTCTAATTATGAACGAGAATTATTCCTTAGTTTCTCTTTCTGCTGCTTCGTTATTCGCATAAAAATTCAATACATTTATGTATGTTGATTTTGTATTCTGAGACTTTATCTAATTAATGTATCAGTTCTAGCAATTTTTTGTGGAGACTTTTGAATTTTCTATATAGAGTGTCATAAGTTTGACAACTTACTTGCCAATTTGGATACCTTTTATTTTGTTGTCTGTTTGCTGTGGCTAGGACTTCTAGTACTATATTAACTAACAGTGGTGAGAGTGGACATCCCTATCTTCTTCCTGACCATAGAAGAAAAGCTCTCAGTTTTTCCCCATTGAGGAGGATGTTAGCAGTGGGTTTCTCACATGTGACCTTTATGATGTTGAGTTATGTTCCCTCTATCCCTACTTTGTTGAGGGTTTTTATCATGAATGTATGT